TTACATGGATCTCAACAAAAAAGTAGATGGTATTGAACCAGGAAAATTAAAAAAAGACTTTCTTAGCTCATTACTGAATTTACTATACAGAGATATATACATACATATTACATATATATAACTCATTGTGGGTATTTTCAGGGGGGTTGGGAAGGTCTGTCAGTACAAATTCTTTGTCTAGTTTCAAATTAAGAAAAAATCAGTATGGGGGTGGTTACACTATATTTGTCAGAATTTACTGTGCTGTTTCTAAATCTTATCATCTCTCTGGTAACTAGAACATTTTGATCCTATTGGAAACGGTCGTTGCCTTTAGCATGTGAGTGGGTTGTCACAGATCTTACTGACCAGTTCTCTTTGATAAATAAAACAATAAAAACCTGAAAATATTTTTCTTACTTATTCAGAACTGAATTACAAGGTAAATGCCTTTTTCAATCTCCATTTTAAGGAGAAGAAAATTGAGACGTAGGCAGTTTCAGTGGAGTTGCTCAAGGTCACAGAAGACTAACAGAGCTGAAAGATAGACCTAGTTTTGTTTTAGAGCAAAATGCTTTTAACTAGTCTCTTATACTAATGTCTACCCCCAAAACACTGCTTGTGTTTTCAGTACTAACCTCCCCACTCCTTTTTTTCTGTTGTGCTCTTTTACCTTTATTATTAGTGTAAATTTTCTTTTTTTAAAATTTATTTTACTTTAATACAGTTTACATTTTATTTTAAGTTGCATTTTACTCTTTTTGGAAAAGGGAAAGCATAAAAATATAGATATTTTTGGTATTTAATTATGTGCTATATGAATAAAGATAAACACATAGCTTCTTTCCCTCTTATCCTTTCTTTATTCTTTAAATTATTTCCCTCTGCCTGACAGTACTATAGATGCTTTCAAAATGTTAGCTAATTAAGACACTGAACATTTTATTTTGTTTCAAAAAATTTCTGGTCCGAACTATTTTTCTTAAACTTATATATTACTTTTCTGCCACTATCTCTTCCCCATTGAGATATTTATTATATCTCAAATATCCTACATTTAAATAATCTTTAAACCTCCCTGCCCGCACTCTCAATCCTCCTGTATCAATTAGCAGAGATTCTTTTAAGCTACTGGGTCCTTTTTTCCAAAAATGTGTTCCTGAGGAATACATTGGGATTTTAAAGATTGACTGCTCAGTATTTCTTGTATCTTGGAATATGTATTTGTGACAAATTACTTCATTTCTTAGACCCTTTGCTTTGCCATTGAGGTAGAGATGATGTTGACATTTTTTCCTCACAGGGAAGTAGTAAAAATCAATGGGACTTTCTGAATGAGCAGGAAGAGGTAATGGGCCCCCAGGGGAGTGGGGCTCACTGGTATCCTTGAAAGATCAAAGACTTGGGCTGTCTCCTTAAGCTATATCTTCCTTCTGCTGTTTTCACTCACCTATGTGGAGGCCTTGGGTGGGTCGAGAAAGGACAGTGGTGATGGGGGAGGGCACACAGGTATTACACATGTGTTTTCAATGAGAATGGTCTTTGAGAAAAGACATTCAAAGGAAAGACAGCTTGGGGATATGGTACACTCTGGGTTATAGAAAGGGTCTGAATGCACTTCTCTTTCCCTCCCTCTCCCCTTCCTCTAAACACATGCACTCTGCAGAAATCAGCAGTTTCACAGAGTTAAAAAAGTTGATCACCATTATAGCAAAGATAGCAGAAGGTAGTCTATAAAATGGTAGCACTGCAGCACTGTCCTCCTTGTGTTCATCTATTTGTTCGAGCGGGTCCAGTAATGTCTCCCTTGTGAGACTTGTTACTGTGTCTGGCATATTGAATACATCACGGGTAGCTTGCCAGGCTTTGCTGTGCAGGCAGAAATACTCTAGGTAGCTTGCCAGGCTAGAAAAAAAGTTTCCAAAAAAATACTCTTATTTGAAACTACAGAGAGCTAAGAAAAATTAATCTATGTTATCCAAGGATTTGAAAAGATGAAAGTACATTTTTGAGTTGGGTTTCCAAAAAAGGCTAAACCTTGAATTAGCAAGGAAAAACTAGTTTTCCTCTTTTAGCTAGGAGAGGTTTGGTGCTCAGGTCGGGAAGGAAATTTAGGGGATAATACTGACCATGGGATCCTAGAATACAGAGTATGAGCCTAGGAGAAGTTTGGAATGGAGAAGACTAGAGAAAACAGGTGATTAATATCATTGCTGATAAACATTGTGTTCAAACTATAGGACTGTTAGTAATTGGTCTAATGATCTTGTCCTAACAAAATCCCCTTGTTATTCATCTTTATATATATAAGGTCTGTACTGAAAACACCTCTCACTTCCTAGCTATAAACTTTTCAAGCTTTCTTTCCCCACCTCTTACACTCCACCCACCTTGACTTGGCCATCCGAACGTACTTAGATGGTGCAAAGGATAGGCTGGAAGTTTCACAAAATTAATTCTCTCAATCAACATCTGATGGAGATTTGATGAATACCAATCCAGTTTTTTGTTTTGCATTGTTTTGTTTTTTGGAGCATGCCTGATGATGTTCAGTTATTACTCCTGATTTGGTGTTCCAGGTCATTCCTTTGGACAAAGGAAACCATATGGTGTGCCAAGGATTGAACCTGGCTCTGCAATGCGCAAGGCAAGCACTATAACTGCTATACTATTTCTCCAGCCAATAGAGATTTTTTACCGCTCTTCTAAACTAATACCAGGTATTATTTTTTGCCTTTCAGATTTCCTAGAAAGATTCTAATGTCCCACAGAGACACTGTATTGGTAATGCACATTTATTGGCTGCCTTTCTTTTTTTTTTAATTAATTGGTTTCATTTTAAACAAATAATTTATTTTCTTACTAATTTTGCTTAACAACACATTTTATTTACTTTTAAAATTTAATTTAATTTTTGTAAAGTTGTTCACAATAATTTATTACATTCAATATTCCAACACCAATCCCACCACCATTACAGCATCCTATCATCATATTTCAAATTTTCCCAACCACCATGCAAGTCTGCCCAAATAGCAGGCCCTAAATCATTTATTTTGTATTGACTGCTATGAATAATTCACTAAAAATGATCAAGAAAGATTTTCTTAGAAGAAAGTGTGTGAAGATTGTTGTATCTCACCCTGGTGCCATTAAGCCCTTGTATAAGAGATTACCAACACATTGTTAGTTGAGCCTTGTGTGCTAATATTTTTTGAGATTGGTTGCTTCTACTTTGCATCCCACCCAATGTGGTGCCTTACTCCTGGTACATCAGTGGTATAGAACATGAGATGTCACTCCAGGAACTCTAACATTTCAAATAAGGTGGACTTAAATTTTGTCTTATTATTTTTCTTTCTTTTTTTTTTGCTTTTTGGGTCACACCCGGTCTTGCACAGGGGTTACTCCTGGCTCTGCACTCAGAAATCACTCAGGGGACCATATGGGATGCTGGGAATTGAACCCGGGTTGACCGTGCGCAAGGCAAACACCCTACCCGCTGTGCTATCACTCCAGCCCCTGGACTTAAATTTTTAACTGGATGGTGACATTTGAGATATAGAGGCATCTCTGCAGCTTGTAGATCTCTTCTGAGATTTCTTTGTGAGTCTCTGGATGTGGCCAGTTAATGAGCTTATATGGCTCCAGAAGCAGTTCGTGGCTCCTGGAAGAAGAACGATAGAAGATAGAGATTTTGGTCACAAAACTTGCATACCCGAGTTTTTCATCAGATTCATTCATGGATGAGTCTTGTCCGAGCCTGTAGAGATGGGGTATGAGCATGGCAGCCATTTGGTTCTGGAGATTTTCACTACTGTGACTCCAGATATGAGATGGGGTCTGGAGGCATCTCCCAGCTTATTCATTTTTGGTTGGGGACCACATTTGGTGATTGTCAGGGGCTACTCCTGGCTCTGCACTCAGGAATTACTCCTGGTGGCTATGCTCAGGGAATAAAAGGGGATGCCAGAGATGGAACCCAGGCTGGCTGCAAGCATGGAAAGCACCCTACCCCCTGTACTTTCACTCTAGCCCTTTCTTTCCCTATATCATGTTTTCACGCTCTTATTGGTTTTCTTATGTCACTTTCCAAACCAACTACTGGCGCTTGAATTTGTATCTCAGAGATTAATTCTGGGGACTCTAAACCATGACACCAGGTAACTTCCTAAAAACAGATCCTCTTTCACAAGTTCACTCTTACAAGGCATGTCAGTGTCTACAAAGATGTTTTGATTTTTGGGTCAAGTGGGAAGGTTGATGTATTTGTGGAGTTTTTCTTATTGTTGTTTTTGGGTCACACCTGGCGATGCTCAAGGGATACTTCTTGCTTGGAAGCATTTGAGGCTAGGCAACATGTCCAGACTCTACAACACTGACATCCTAGTGGTAGCGCACTAAATTAGATGGGATGAAATGTAGAAACCAACTAAATGTTGACTAACAAAAACATTAACACAGAAGGCATAACTTGCAAAAACAGCTTAGGCTAAGATGAGGACTTACTGTCCCCATGGTGAGGTACAGCTTAGTAAAACCTTAGACAAGGACTTAATAACCCCACAGTGAGATACAACAAATTTCACCATTTTTTTTATATGGAAATAATGTTTTGGTCATTCCGCTAGCAATTTAATGATAAGAAATAATATAAAATAAATTATTACAGACCTGCTACAGGGGCAGGTTTGAAGGGTGATTAGGAAAATGGAGACAATGGTGGAGGGAAGGTGACAGTGGTGGTGAGATTGTTGCTGGAATATTGAATGTCTGTAACAAATCATCATGAACAACTTCATTAACCATAGTATTTGAATAAAGTGAGAAAAAAAGGTTACTACTGGCTCTGCACTAAGGAATTACTCCTGGTGAGGCTCGGGGAAGTATAGGGGGTGCCTGAGCTTTAACTGGGGTGATCACTTCTTAGCAAGGATAGCCCTTACCTGCTGTACTATATCACTAGCTCTGATGTACTTGTATATAATGATCGATTTTATAATAAATAAAAGTCTCACTGTCAACAATTAAGTGACTTGTGGTCTCCCTCTGTGCTCCCCACACCCCATGGATTTCATGGCTGTGAACCATAGCCTCCCTGGTAGTTATGTGGCCTATTGTCTAGATGGGCCACCCTAAGGAACCTTGGAGATAGGCCGCTCTTTTCTTTCTTTCTTTTCTTTCTTTCTTTCTTTCTTTCTTTCTTTCTTTCTTTCTTTCTTTCTTTCTTTCTTTCTTTCTTTCTTCTTTCTTTTTACGTCACACCCAGCAATGCACAGGGGTTACTCCAGGCTTTGCATTCAGGAATTACTCCTGGTGGTGCTCAGGGGACCATATGGGATGCTGGGAATTGAACCTGGATCAGTCGTGTACAAGGCAAATGCCCTACCTGCTGTGCTATCGCTCCAGGAAGATAGCCCTTTCTGATAGACATTCATTTATCACGACACCAGTCTTTGGCTTTTTTTTTTTTTTGCTTTTTGGGTCACACCTGGCGTTGCGCAAGGGTTACTCCTGGCTCATGCACTCAGGAATTACTCCTGGTGGTGCTCAGAGGACTGTATGGGATGCTGGTAATTGAACTGAGGTCGGCCGTGTGCAAGGCAAATACCCTACCCACTGTGCTATAGCTCCAGCCCCCAGTCTTTGGCTTCTAAAGAGCAGGTGTCTTTAGAAGCCCCAGAGCATAGTTGTCAGTTATCTAAATCATCATATCTATTTGCAACAAGTTGCAGAACAAGGAGCATGTTGCTGAGATTCTTCACAGGCCAAGTTCAAGTTTCTGGTTACAAGAAAATCCACATGTCCTAGAAGAGGGTCTTTACCAAGTTTAATGAGGATAAATTTGAAGACATAGTAGGGCTAAAAAGCAGCTCATCCCAGATGGTTGAGGGGTAAAATATGTCGTCACTAATCATGGCTGCCCTTTGAACAAATGGCCGGCCCTCTATTCCTGAAAGCTTTGGTGTGACCCCCTTTAGAGGTCCATCAATAAACTCTATTTTCTATCTTAAATAAATAAAGCAAGTAAGCAAATATCTCAATAGAAGTTTATTTCTTATTCAAACCACACTTCACTGAGGTTTTGAACATTACTGGAGCAGCTTCAGCCCCCAGCCCTAACACTTTTTTGGTGTGACTCCTATTAAAAATATAAAATAAGAATCCAGAAAAATAGTACAGGAGGTAAGGCACTTTGTCTTGCATGCGGCTACAATGACTGCGACCTTGGTTTGAATTCCTAGCTCTACATATGGTCCCCGCAGCACCACCAGGGGTCACTTCTGTGCATAGAGCCAAGAAAAGTTCCTGAGCAGCACAGGATATGGCTAAAGAAACATGATTGCCACTCAATGCCTCTTTTGCAAACCACAACACCCAAAAGGAGAAAGAGAACAAAAGGGAATGCCCTGCCACAGAGGCAGGGTGGGATTGGGGGGGGGGGATGGGGGATGGGAGGGATACTGGGATCTGTGGTGTGGAAAATGGGCACTGGTGGAGGGATGGGTATTTGATCATTGTATACTTGAAACCCAAGCACAAAAAATTTTAAGTCTACAACTGTACCTCATGGTGTCTCACTAATAAAAATTAAAAAAAAAGAAACCCAAAGAGCAAAAAACAACACCATAAAATTTAATTAAATTTAAGTAAATGGAAACCCAATTGTAGGGCACTGGAACTTAATTCCTTTGAAATCAGTGTGGAAAATATACTTTCAAAATTAGCTGTCGAGAGGTAAGAAAATGGGGTGTTTTGATGCCACATCTCCAGATCTGAAATTTCACAGCTAATTGATCCAGAAATGTATCTTTCAACCAGTTGCAAAGATCCACGGTGACCCAATTTCTGAGTATCCAGCACTTCTCCAGTACTATCATTAGCCAAATCCCTTACAATCCTCTGAAATCATCACCTACAACCAATGTATTCTTTTTCTACTTTATCAAAAACAGAATCCTCCTACAGTACTCTAGTTCTTTAAACTAGACTTCTGTGAAAGTTTATGGATGTGTGCTAATGATGTGTGGTCCACAGAGAATCTCAAGTATTACCTCAGACTCATCCCCTCTCAAGCTTATGTAATAATCCTCTCTATATGAATCTTGTGTGTTCCAATATTATTTCAATTCTTACCTTGTTGGCCTTCTGAAGCCTTGGAGCAATCTAATTTCCAAATGTTTACTGCATTCTGAATGGAAGTTTCAAAGAAAAATGGTTTAAAGAAATTGTTTACCAGACTATTACATGGTCGCCTAGCTCCTGCATTAAGTCTTTGTTCAACAGTGAGATGCCTTACCCCACAGAGACTGGCACACATCCAAAGAATAAGAGCTTTGGCATGGATGTGGGGAGAAAGGAATAAAGGAATTCTCCTTCATTGTTGTAGGAATGTCAAACTGGTCCAGCTCTTTCGGAAAACAATATATATATATTCCTCAAAAAACTAGAAATTGAGTTCTCATTTGACCCAACAATACTACTTCTGGGAATTTACCATGGATGCCCCAAAACACAGAGCAGAAATGTCATCTGAACTTCAGTATTCATTGCAGCACTATTCACAGCAGCCAGAATCTGAAAACAATCTGCCCGAGAAGAAATGACTAGATAAAGAAACTATAGTACTTCTACAGAGTGGAATACTATGCAGTCATTATGCTGATCAATGGATGGACATGGAGGTTATCATGCTGAGTGAAATGAGTCAGAAAGAGAGGGACAGATATAGAATCCCATTTGTGGGATATATATATATATATATATATATATATATATATATATATATATATATGGGCTGGGGCGATAGTAGAGCAGGCATGGTGTTTGCCTTGCATGCAGCCGACCCAGAACAACCTGGGCTTGATTCCTCCACCCCTCTCGGAGAGCCTGAAAATCTACTGAGAGTATTCCTCTCCCACAGCAAAGCCTGGCAACTCCCCGTGACGTATTTGATATGCCAAACACAGTAACAACAAGTCTCACAATGGAGACATTACTGATGCCTGCTCGAGAAAATCGATGAAAAATGGGATGACAGTGCTACAAATATATATATTATATATATATATATATATAGAGAGAGAGAGAGAGAGAGAGAGAGAGAGAGACTAATACCCAAGGCCAGGGCCAGGAGGACTGGTCAATGGTTGGAAGCGTGCCACAAGAGTGTGTATGGTGTATGGGGGGGGGTGAAAGGCAGTTAGGATAGAGAAGGGATCAACATGATAGTAATAGTGGGAAATGATAATTTTGGACAGGAACTGAATGTTGAAAGTAGGTAAAGGGTTATACCTGATAACATTTCATTATCTGTATTGCAAGCCATAAGGCTCAAAAGGGGAGAGAGAGAGAGAGAGAGAGAGAGAGAGAGAGAGAGAGAGAGAGAGACCTCTCATAGTGGCAGGTGGGGTCCGGGAGGGAAACTGGGACCGCAGGTGGTGGGAAATGTACACTGGTGAAGGGATGGATGCTGGAACATTATATGACTGAAATCCAATCATGAACAACTTTGTAAACATGTTGATTTTTAAACTGTGATTCAATTTTAAAAAGAGGTTGTTTGATGAATGAATACATCCACAGCAATGAAAAACAGGACATAAGCTATTAATCCTAAATCTCCACAGCCACATTAACTCTATGCAGCAACACTTCTCCTTTATAGACATTAGTTTTACTTCTTTTTCATATCTAATACCAGATACCTTCTGTACATAATCCTAAGGACTAGCAAAGTCTTTCCCCCTTCTTTAATTTTGTCTGAGAACAGTCAAAAGTTCAAGTGATGAAGTCAAATTGCCCTCTGAGTCAAAAATTGGCACTGTGACTTGTTTGGAATCATAGGAAACAAATGATGTTCTGTGAGTTCTAAAGCTTTAGTGACAAGATGTCATGGAGCTTCTGTTCCTCTCTTGAGATCCAGCCTCCCCTCAAGAAGCTTGGAGTAAATTCAAAACTAATGGGAAACTCGGGGGCTGGAGCAATAGCAAAGTGGGTAGGGCCAGGTTCCTTTGCCTAGCACACGGCAGACCCAGGTTTGATTCCCAGCATCCCATATGGTCTCCTGAGCACCGCCAGGAGTAATTCCTGAGGCATGAGCCAGGAGTAGCCCCTGTGCATCGGCGGGTGTGACCCAAAAACCAAAGAAAGAAAAAAAAACTAATGAAAGACCAAGAGAGTGCGAGGAAATGAGAGGTACAGGTTAACACAGGCATTCTAGCTACTTAGAAAAATTCTAGACATATGTGTGACATCATCTTGAATCTCCCCATGAGGAATCCAGCTGTACCACCTAGAGAAAAAAAACTGCTCAGCTGACCCCAATGAACCCACCGAATTATGAGAAGAAATAAACTTCTTATTTTTTAGGCCTCCAAGGTTTTGAGTTCTTTATTGTACAAGAATAGATAATAGTTTTTTAAAGTCAACCTACTCAATTCCCTACTATGCCTACAATTAATTTTGCCCATGGAAAAGAAATGCAAAAACTGAAAAAAAAAGGAATAACTTACAATAGCCACAATTCCAAGCCAGAATGCCACAAAGGAAAAAGAAAGAGAAAATAACCAAAGGGTTATTTTGGGTGATGGTAATTTTCGCTCTAATCTGGGTCCTCTCTGCATAGGTGAAAAGGCCGTGGAGCAAGAGACACTTTGATATATGCACTTTACTCCAATTAAAAACTTGACAAACAAAAATCAGAAGAGTTCTCGAGCATCTCAGGAAGCAGCTTATTTTATACTGGGAGTGCTTTAAAAGTGTGTGTTAAATTTAAGGTATGAAAATTTTTCTGTGATTTTATGATAAATTCTAAATCTCAGCTACCATATGGTGGAAGCTTTTTTTTTTGATATTCCACATCCATGAGAGTTAAAGCATACATAGCATTTGTGAGGAGATAAGCATTTTCATTCCTTTTTACACCTTTTTAATGACCTCTCAGTCTAAATAAGAAACCTGTTTGAAATTCCAAAACCTGCAAAATAAATTAAAAAAAATTTCATTAGACAGTACTGTCTGTATAATCCTTCAGTATAAAAATAGCACCAACTCTTGATTCATTTGCACAGGGATGTAGACCCCTAGGTAAACATCAAAGGAGATGGGTAGAGATCGAAGGTTAATTCAAGGGAGGCAGTGGTAGAATCTGACAC